CCAATGTATACGAGGCCAAAGCCTGTTTATTTGTCATTTCAAGCTCTATTAGAAGCACACAAATAAAACGTGCCTCCTAGAGGAAGGAAATATTAATTTGCAAATTCTAACAGAGCCTGAAAGTGTCCAAAAAAAATGGAGTTTTTAACATGTATATCTGAAAATCTAATTTAGAAAGAAAAGCTCTGACCACCTCTGCTCATGGTCTGAAGTTGCTGTTAAATTCCAGATGTGAGAAACAGACCCAAATTACTCACAGAACCACAGAATTTCGGGCAGAAGCAATTGTAGGCTGTGCCTCAGCAGGTTTGCACCCAAAGTCTGAGAGAGTCTCAAAGAGGTTACAAAGCAAACCAGGCCCATTCTCCTTCCCAGAGAATAAGGTCAGGGTTTGAAGTGCAGGAGCTTGCAGGTGTTTTGCCTGATAACAAAAGAGGAGGTACCTAAAGGGGGCCAGCAGGAAGCTTCCAGAATGAGTTCTAAGCCTACAAAACCCGTCTTTGTTGTGAAAATCTCATCCAAGGGAAGGTAAAGAGCTCAGAGGAGAAGAAAAGCCCTTTGGTCGTGCAGACAAAGCCAAGGCAACGCGACGGCTCAAGCAGAGACTGTCGTGTCTGAAATGCAGGTGCCAGTCGGAGAGCAAAGGGAATTTCTCTGGGTAAATTACTCTGATGGAAGCAGAGCTGTCTGAAGAGAAGACACTTCAGTGAAAGCTGAAAGTTTATTCCCTCTGAGCTCACTCACTCAGGGAGAAATTGCAGCTTCCAGGAGGGAAGGCGTGAGGTGGCGAAGCCGGGCAGAGATGTGGCTGGGTCCCAAGAGCCTGTGGCTCCCTGGGCTGGCACTTGGGAGGCAGGAAGGGCCTGAGAGGGGCCCTGCAGCCTCCCAGAACCAGCCTTTGATGGCCACATCATCAACTCACATCCCGGGAATAACAGCAATTGGAGAAATAGCTCAGCCCGACTAATTCCAGGCTGTGCCTTCAGAGTTCCCTGGTCTGCTGTTCTCTGAAGGGATAGGACAAGAGGAAACAGCCTCAAGTTGTGCCAGGGGAGGCTTAGGTCAGATAGTAGGAAAAATTCCTTCATGGGAAGGGTTGTCCATCCCAGGGCAGGGGTGGATTCCCCATCCCTGGAGGGATCCCCAAGCCGTGTGGATGTGGCACTTGGGGACACGGGTTAGAGGTGGCCTGGGCAGTGCTGGGGGACCTGATGGTCTTGGAGGGCTTTTCCAACCCAAGGCACTCTGGAGTTCTATGGTTTCCTAGAAATTTTGGAAAGTCCCTTCTCAGGACCCCCCCATGTCCCCCAAGAGCAGCAGCAGCTCCCCACGACACACAAAGAGCTGTTCATTCCTCACCCCAGGAATGCCGGGGTGTTTCTGCTCCCCACGAGGCATTTTGGACAAGACCTGCCCCTTCCTGGAGAATCCAGAACAAGGCACACACGTGACTCCAAAGAAAACAGGCCACACAGCACAACTTTCAAGTGAAATCACCCTCTAGAGTGAACTTTGTATGAACACCTTCAATGTTTCCCCCCCGGTTTATTTGAGACATTACTGCCCCTAACATAAAACCTTCTGAGGAGAAGCCCTGGCCTCGTGCAGGAGACAATGCAGCACATAAAAGCTCTTTAAAATCAGTCATTTGCAGCAGGAAAAAAGCCCTAATTTTCATTTTTCTTTTCCTCATGCTATTAAAGAGAGTGGAGCTGTTTCTGTACAACAGCTGCCCACACAGCCCCTGCCCGTGGCAGAGCTGCAACACTGCATTCCATTCTTGTTCCAGGGTATTTTCAACCAGAGACTCTACAAGCATTTATTAGATTTTTCCATCACTTGCTAAATTATGCACTAAAAAAAGATTAATCTCACCCAAAACGTAGTCAAGTCGCTCTTTTGAATAATATCCTTGGAACCTAAACCAAAGACATGTCTGTGTTTCTACCTTCCCCTGCAGCCTCCCTTTGCAGACAGGGTGGATGATTGGTTTAACTGAGTTTTTCCAAGGGAAATAAGAGTTTGTTGTGTCCTCCCCCCATGGTGAAGTGAAGCCACTATGGAAATAAACTGCAGCCCTGGCTGGGAATGGAGCAGGAATTCTGTGACTGAGGGTACTCCAAACAACACACGGTATAATAAACCTTATAGAATAATAAATATATAAAAATATATAAATAAGTAGAGGATTTAGCCAAAGAAACATTCACTGTTGTCTTCAGAGAGGGGAAAACACTGATAACAGGGAGATAAATCTGTCAGTGACTGACACTCTTTTGAATTTGTGTTTATTTTCCAACAAACGTTGGTTATTTGATATGGCTGTTGTTGATTCAAAAGCTATTTAAATACTTGTTTCACGTATATTAAAATGTTGATTAAATATATATTCCCCACCATGTTTCTTCCCCTTTCCCCCCTGCATTAGGGTAAAACATTCCCTAAATCCATAAATTCGAGATCTCCGCAGCTGATCATTCCTTACCCCTCATTTTATCTCCCTTCTGCCTTTAAATTTCAGAACATTTAATAAATGAACCACTTGAGAACTGAGTGCAGAAAACCCCAGGACCTGTTTCTATAGAGACAGGTCTGCCTGGATTCACGGGGAGCTCTGTGAGAGGAGGGAAAAAGGACGGGCAGGAGGACAATGGGCAGCAATTCTAGAGGGTCCTTAAGGTCCCTCCTAACTCAGCCCAGCCCATGGTTCTATTATTCCATGATTAAACACTCGGGATAATTGCAACCCATGGAGATTTTGCACTTACAGATGAGCCTAATTAGTGAATAAATATTTGCAGAGCAGGGCAGTGTCCCATGTCCCCCCTCCTGCTGCTCCCCTGGGACACCACGGGGATGGAGGAGGGTTGATGGAACGGGAGAGCAGCACTGCCTGGGACCACTGAGGGGAATGCATTCGCCCAAAAAATTACAGAAGACCGCCAAAAAACCTTACACAGAATCCCAGACTGGTTTGGGTTGGAAGGGAAATTAAGGATCATGCAGTGCCACCCCTTTGCATAAGCAGGGACACCTTCCACCAGCCCAGGTTGCTCCAAGCCCCGTCCAACCTGGCCTTGGACACTCCCAGGGACCCAGGGGCAGCCACAGCTTCTCTGGGCAAACCCACCCTCCCAGCCAGCAATTCCTTCCCAATATCCCATCTCTCCCTGCCCTCTGGCAGTGGGAAGCCATTCCCGCTGGAATCAAAGAGAAAACCCCACCCAAAGACAAGCCCCACCTTTGCCACCCTGCAGTTCCCACAAATCCTTGGAGCTAAACCTGGCCCAGAACTGAGTTATGCAGGAACACTCCTTGAACTTGGCCAGCTGTGGGAACGCTCCCTGCTGCGGGAGGCACTTAAATCACACTCCTTGGGCAAGATTTACTTCCCTGTTTTGTCTTTTCAGACCACGGGCTGAGGCTCGTTAGACATTTGCGGGTGATTCACATCCCATAAAGTATCCACTGCAGGGAGATCCAGTCCCACCCCCTGCATGTTCCTCAGCACTTTGGGGATGGGGAGCAGCCGTTTGTCAGAGCTCTGCTCCGACTCTGCAATCCCTTGCCAGGGAGGGGCTGTATTTCACAGGCAGCACCTCAGTAACCCTGATTAAAGTGCATTTCAAAAGCAGTGGAAAGGAGAGAAGGATTTTTTTCCGTGGCCAAGTTTTGCAAACAAAGAGTTGTTGTGTCCACGTTTCACATTATTGTTAAAAGGGCAGTGAAGAGGCACAACAGCAGCAGTTGGGGTCGTTATGGCCCTGCTGCAACCCCAAAAACTCATTAAATACCTTTCCTGTAAGAGCCAGTAACAGGGTAGAGCTTCATGCCTGCTGCCCACTGTGGATCCAGTGCTAATTAGTCCAGTCTAATTGCCAGGACCTGGCCATTCAATGTGTGTCTGGTGATCCCTCTGGAATGAGGACCCTCCACTGCACATCCAGCCCTGTCACCTGCAGCCAACAGACCTTTCCAACCTGTTCTGAACCCGTTTTGGAAACAAAAGGAAAACTACCTGGCAAAGAGAGGGGAACACAGAGGGACACTGCAAGAACTCCCAGGGACACTGCAAGAACTCCCAGGGACACTGCAGGAACTCCCAGGGATATTGCAGGAACTCCCAGGGATGTTGGGAGCACTCTGGCCTCGCTCTGGTTGGATGAGCTGAGGGCATTTTGAAGGCTGTCGTGGGCAGTGCTGGCAGAGGGGTTGAGGTTCTGCAGCTGGAGGGAGCAGGGCTTTCTGGCACTGGGAGAATGGATGAATCTTGGAATGGTTTGGGTGAGAAGGGACTTTAAGGATCATCTCATTCCACCCCCTGCCATGGGCAGGGACACCTTCCACTAGCCCAGGTTGCTCCAACCTGGCCTTGGACACTTCCAGGGATCCAGGGGCAGCCACAGCTTCCATGCCCATCCTGGGCCAGGGCCTCCCCACCCTCACAGCCAGCAATTGCTTCCCAATATCCCATCTCTCCCGGCCCTCTGGCAGTGGGAAGCCATTCCCTGTGTCCTGTCCCTCCATGCCTTGTCCCCAGTCCCTCTCCAGCTCTCCTGGAGCCCCTTCAGGCCCTGGAAGGGGCTCTCAGGTCTCCCTGGAGCCTTCTCTCCTCCAGGTGAACCCCCCCAGCTCTCCCAGCCCGTGTCCATAGGACACAGCCTGCCAAGGTGCCACAGAGAACCCAAACCCGTGACTGACCCTCAGCCCAGCACGAGGCTGCAGGTTTTGACATCCAAAATTCGAGCAATTCTCCAGTGAGCAAAGACAGAGCAAAGGAGAAAGTTCTGGAGATGCAGGATTGTCCCCATCCCTTGCACTGACTGCAACACCTGCCTGTTTAACCGGGGAGAGGGGCAGAGCAGAATTCCCACCCTTGGAGCAGAGACACTCCCGGTCCCAGCGATCCCTCCGGTTGCCATGGAAACCACCTTGCACGGAAAGGACAGTGCTGAACGTTCCCTTAACGTGAGGCACTGCAGTGAACTGGGCTCGTCTGGGCAGGTTCTGCTGGGCTGTCATTGCTCTATTTGTGCCCTTCACCACCCTCCAGGTTGGTTGGGAAACCGTCCTGCCCAGCCCCCAGCCCAAAGGGGGAATATTCCACCTTCCTCCTCCCTTTGCAAATGTCTTCAGAGCACACGGATGGCTGTGCTTTGATGCCCCACTGCTGGGCACCACCTGCCCAGCCACGAGCAGGTCCTGGCAGCACCTTCTGTGACTTCACAGGGGCTCCTGAGCCCCCCCAGCCCCTGGGCTGTCACTCAGCCCCGCCTGACGCACAGAGCAACGCTGAATTCACAGTATTTTTAGCAAAATCCCACACCTTGGAGCAGGTGGGGACAGTCAGGAAAGGGAAGGGCTGCTCTCCTGCGGGGTCTGGCAGGACAAGGCTCCTTACACCGACATTTCCTGGCTCGGGGGCTGAAAACATTTGCACTCAGCAGTGCCCAGGTTCCTTGGGCATCACGTGGGTAAATGCCCACTGGAACAAAATGGGAATGTCACAGCAGTACACAGTGTCCCCTCACACCCACCTGCATCGTTTGCAGGATTGTTTTAATATAGAAAACAGTGTAATGAAAATAGATCGGTAAAGTTTTAAGTCACAGAGTAAATTTAGGGTGGGAACACAGAGAAGATGAAGTGCTCGCTGCAGAGCTCAGAGACCAAGGGAAGATTATTAGCAGATGATCTTCTTCCATATAGGAAGGAATTACAGAACTATTTAGGTTGGAAAAGACCTCCAAGCTCATCCAGTCCCCCCTGTGCCCGATGCCCCCCTTGTCCCCCAGCCCAGAGCACTGAGTGCCACGGCCAGGCCTTCCTGGGACACCTCCAGGGTGGGCACTCCAAACCTCCCTGGGCAGCCCCTGCCAGTGCCTGACCACCCTTTCCAGGGAGAAATTCCTCCTGATGTCCAACCTGAGCCTCCCCTGGCACAGCCTGAGGCCGTTCCCTCTCCTCCTGTCCCTTGTTCCCTGGGAGCAGAGCCCGACCCCCCCCGGCTCCCCCCTCCTGTCAGGGGGTTGCAGAGCCAGAAGGTCCCCCCTGAGCCTCCTTTTCTCCAGGCTGAGCCCCCCCAGCTCCCTCAGCTCATTCAGGTATTTCTGGTTTTTTTGGGGGGAGAAGGGGGGAAATGCTTGGATTTGGTAATTCTTAATAACAAATTTCTAAAAATAGAAAAAATTGGCAACTGAATACAGAAAACCATCCCCAAGCTGTTCTTGCAGCTCAGAGCTGAGTCACCAGAGAGCGACCAGAGTGTTCCCAGAGCTGGCCAGGGATATTCTGGTCATTACAGTGGTGCAATTACAGATATCCCAGAGGGACCAGTTATCCCAAACAAGGCCCCAGTCACCAGGCTTTGTCAGGCAAAATGGCAAGTTTTGCATTAGGACTATTGCTGGGAGATGGGAACAGTTCTTTCTATCATGAGAGAGAGAAATCCCAGAGCCGTTCCATGATTCTGTGAAACCTTCACATGGAGCAGCAGTTCAGCAAATCCCAGAATGGTTTGGGTGAGAAGGGACCTTAAATTCCATCCAGTTCCACCCAGGGACACCTTCCACCAGCCCAGGTTGCTCCAAGCCCCGTCCAACCTGGCCTTGGACACTTCCAGGGATCCAGGGACAGCCACAGCTTCTCTGGGCAACCTGGGCCAGGGCCTCCCCATCCTTATCATAAAAAACTTCCTTATATCCAGTCTAAATCTCCTTTTCCCCTTGTCCTGTCCCAACAGGCACCTCTGGCATCCTGCAGGGAGAGAATCATCCCCCCCCACATGTTGGCACCGGAGCTGACGTTCCCCAAATGTGCCACCACCACAGCAGTGTCCATGGGAAGCACCTGCACCTCTTCCAGGTTATTTTCCACAGGAAAATAACTCCAGGCTGCAGGTTTTAGAGCAAATATCATCATCTGTTTTATTTTAAATCTCGCCTTTGCTTTCTCGGTGCTTATATCGAGATTCATAAAAATGCCACCTTAAAGTTCTATTTCCAAGGCAGTTTTATTTTTGACACAATGTTTTAAAGGGAGTGGGAATAAAAGCACATGGGAAGGGCTGTTAAAGATACCAGGCAATGCCCACAGTGTTTTACTGCTCTCATTGCTCAGTTTAAGCTGCTGGTTTTCCTTCCCTGGCTCTCCCTCTGATTTATTCATGTGTTCCAGCTCCATCCTTTCCTGGGCTGTTTGCTGAGGAAAGGGGAGCTGCCCTCAGAAATCATGTTTACTATAATCATCTGCCTTTATTTTCTCTCCTACCTGTTCCAGATATTCCCTGAGTAGCTCCTTGGGTACATCTGGAAGTCATTAATGGCAGAGCCCTGGGTTCCACCCGATGTGTCACCACTCGTGGCTCACTCTCCAGAGACTCCCTAATTTGTGCAGGGAAGTTCTTCCTCCTGAGTACAATCCCTCAAACTCCATCATCATTAAGACAAGGTGTTAAAAAACAAACCAGGAAGCACAAAAACACTCAGCAGTTGTTAAATGAAAATACCTTAATTAAGCAGAGAAAGCGATTATTATTGGGAACTCATTTCTTATTTACAAGAGGCATAAAATGTTAATGAGGATAAAGTCAGCAGTTGCCTAATGAAAGCCAAACCAGCTGGGTCAGACCATTTCCCCTTGTCCTGTCCCTTGTTCCCTGGGAGCAGAGCCCGACCCCCTCCCTTCTGTCAGTTAATTCTATATTTCAGCAGCACATTTTTGGTTCCCCAACACTTGGAGCCTGGAGGCATCTCAGTAGGATTTGGCAGTGTCAGAACTTCGTGGTGAGCAACTTCTGCAACAAGGTTTAGGAGGAAAGAGCCAGTAACACATTTTAAGACTTTAATTTTATATATATATATATAAACATGTAATTTAAAGAATTTAAGTCTAGGTGAAGATGGCTGCTTAGAAAACAACAAACAAGGGAAGAAGGAGGGTTGAGGCCATCAGGAATAGGACAAATTAGACAGGATTGAGGCTGATCAGACAAGCTTAACCATGGAGAAGCCCAATTCACCACCCGAGTTTGGGCTCAGAGTTAAGCAAGAACGAAGATAAACCAGCTGCCATCCAGACCTGAAGTCAATAACTGCACATGCTGATTTACACCAAAGAAGATTTTTGGCTGGTTTGTGCAAGAAAGGTAATTATCTGCTTTTGCCACGAAATTACAGGCTATTAGGAATAATTTTATCCATTTAATAATTAGAAGATTAAGCAAAGCTCTCAGTATAGAAGTAGTAAGAGTTCATCTTGCACATTATGTGGGACATAGTTCATTAGCTGCAACTGGCTGCTCTTAATCTAAAGGGTAACAGCTCTTTGGCAGCAAAAAAATCCCATTTCCTTTCTGGGGTCTATTAGTTCCAGCCCATCACGACAGGCCCATTGCCTTCACTTTGTCCATGGCAGACTGGCTCTGCTGGGAGTAAATGACAGCAGATTACCCCAAATTCCCAGTGTTTGAGCCCAGTCCCTCTGCACACCCTTGCCAGGCTGCTCAGAGCCCCCCACGCTCCCTGGGTCTGTCCCCAGCTCGTTGTGCTCAGAGCAGAATAAAGGCAGTGCCAGGCTCTGATGGCTTTGGAAAATACAGAGCTGGGGTGGGGGCAGGAGAGGGGAATGGGAGTGGAAAACATCCCTGAGCACGGGCTGGGGAGCACTGGGCTGGCTCTGTTGCTGTGGGTCTGGTTCACACTGTTTTTAGCAGAGTGGAGCATCTGGGGCTCCCAAGGTCCTGCTGCTGCCACAGCCCAAGATCCATCCCTCAAACCCCAGGATGATTTGGGTGGGAAGGGGCCTTAAAGCCCATCCAGTGCCACCCCCTGCCATGGGCAGGGACACCTTCCACCAGCCCAGGTTGCTCCAACCTGGCCTTGGACACTTCCAGGGATCCAGGGGCAGCCACAGCTTCTCTGGGCACCCTGTGCCAGGGCCTCCCCACCCTCCCAGGGGAGGATCAAGCTTGATTAACAGAGGAGCTTTATCCAAACCCAAAGACTCTGTTCTTGTAAGGGCATTCTGAGATGAAGGGACCAAATACTGCTGCAGAAATAGGAAAAACACTCCTTAATTCCCATTTTAGTATTAGAACTAAATGCTTGTCCGTATACATTGATATCTCAGGAGCAGCCTGGCCTAACAGAAAAGGGTTAAACCCTTCAGGGCTCAAGTAATTACAGTCCAAATGTGTTCTGGACTCTTACAAATAAAAAATGATGAAGGACATGGGATAAAAAGCTTAATATTTCCCATAGAGATGAAGGGGGTGGTCCTTCTTTTTCTATTTAAAGCTTGTAAACTGTCCAAAGGACTCCTCTTCCCATTCCCAGGGCATATATAATTTCTATTTGCCTAGAAATTAAGCCTCCAATCAATCCCCCTCTCCCCACTCCCCATTTACACTGACTGCATTCACTTCAGACTCAATCAAGGTGACCAGGACAACGAGCTCCATCCAAGCAGGAAAAAACACTTGTGTGAAATAATCAGAGTCCTCCAGAGATGTTGGATGTGCTTCCAGAGAGGCACTCAGGGCTGGAACACTGATGGGGCTGCACAAAAGGACCTCAGTCCAGAGAATTGCAGACAGGGAGCTGTCAGCCCCCGGGGCTGAATGCAAATCCAGCTCCCTCTGCAATGCAGGAGCATTTCCCATCAGCTGGAGATTGGAATGTGCTTCAGCAGATTGAATCTCCTCCAGCCTAAACAGTGTTTTGGTTTTTGACACGAGCCTGCTAATTATGTTTTCCACTTATACCTGGAAATTTCAGCAAATATTCTAGACAAGCCATTTCTGATTGGAATGATTCCACGTGCTACAAAATAACGAGATTTCCCAGTTTTTGGGAGATGTTTATGTGAAGATTAGGCAATTTGTCAGTGTAGGCTGGGATAGTTATATTGAGAGACACATTTATCTGGTCCCAGAGGTTGGAAATGCTCAAGGTTTTAGGAATACACCCTTCAGATGCCCAGTTCTGAGCCAGGCAACAGGAGAAAATCCAGCCAAGTTTCCTCAGGGTTTCTAGGGATGCATCTACATGAACATTTAGCTCCTAAGGAGCTGGTGAAACTAAACCAGCAGCAGATCCTGCTGCCAAGGAGCCCATGGGGTGGGAAGGGCACCAGGACAACCTCCTGGCACAGGCTGCCCTGAGGAGTTGTGGAAGTTGGAAGTGCCCAAGGCCAGGTTGGACGGGGCTCGGAGCACCCTGGGCTGGTGGAAGGTGTCCCTGCCCATGGCAGGGGGTGGCACTGGGTGAGCTTTAATGTCTCTTCCCACCCAAACCATCCTGGGATTCTGTGATACTTGAACACACTAAGAAAAAAACATTTCATAGGATCACTAAGGTTGGAAAAGCCCCCCAAGACCGAGTGCAATCCTTCACCCAGCACTGCACATCCACCACTGAACCGTGTCTGTACCATTTTATTTTTAGATAAACCCCCCAAACGTGCCCCCTCCCACAGCTGAGCTGTTCAGTTTTGTGTTTCCTGGCACAAGCACATCAACACTGTGGGCAGCACCTTCCCCTGGCCCAGACTTTCCTCCCACCATGGCTTTGCTCAGACTCATAGCAAACCACCCTAAAGGTGCCTCACAGGGGCAGGGCAGGGCTGGGCACCTGCTCCTGGCCAGGGCACAAGAGCTGGGGGATGTCACCACAGCTCTGGCAGTTTTTTGCTCCCATCTTGCCCCTCAGAAGGCCCCTCATGCCCATGACTCAGCCTCAGCTCCCATCCAACCTCCCAACTCCCCGGCAAGGGCAGAGCTGACTCAGTTGGCAGCAGAGCTTCAGTCGTGGTCAGGACGGCACAAATCACCACAAAAACCACATTCAGTGCAGTTATAAAGTGATCTGTGACCTCAGAGCTGAGCTGAGTTACAGATAAAGTCATGCTGCAAGTCTCGGCTCCAGCACAACTTCCCACCTGGAGCTCAGTCTCCTGAGCCCCTCCAAGCAGCAGTGAGACCCTCAGCACCATGGCCAGCACCAGAGAGTCACTGGAAGGGCTTCAGCTCAGCTGGCAGAGGAGCTGAGAGAGCCACAAAAGCTCTGCAGTGCTGAAAGGATTAACTCTGCAGCCCTGACACCCCCTCCCCAGGCAGGTCTCACACTATCCCAGGGCTTTTCCTGTGCCCTGTTCTCCTCCTGCACCCAAAACAGCTGGGGTGCCCTATCCTAACCCCAGGGGTAGCTGTGCCAGGGGCCTGGCACGTGCACATTCCATCCAAACAGGTGGGAAACGGATTGAGCTGAAACAGGGGGTGAAAAGAGAGATGTTGGAAGGGTTTGCTGGGTGATTCTGGGCAGTTCTGCAGCAGGGCCAGACCCAAGGGCTGGGACCTCCCTGGGGACAGGGCAGGGCTGGAGTCCCCATCCCTGCAGGGCTCTAAAAAGCCCTGTGGATGTGGCACTCGGGGCCATGGGGCAGTGGTGGCCTTGGAGAGCCTGGGAACCTCTTTGCACTCAGTGTTTTCCAGAACAAATTATCCCTGTGTGAACCAATCACTGCCACTCAGATCCCAGGAATCGTGGAATCATGGAATGGGTTGGGCTGGAGGGGATCTCGAAGATCACCTAAGAATAATCTGTGGCCAGATTTAAGATGCCATTCCTACATTTTTCTGTCTTGGAGAAGTCCTGAGGTACATCTCCTGTTGCAGGGAGCTGATCTGTGAATTACAGTTCTGAATTCACACAGCCAAGGGTTTGGCAACTTTTCCTGCCATCCTTCTCCTGCTGGACCATAACTTAATTCTACTCCATAAAACATTCTTGAGTGACTCAGCTGTTAAGTCATCAGAGCTCTCTTTCCAGCTCTTCAGTTTGGATACCCAAATTAAACAACTTTCTGAGCAAGCCTGAGCTGACAACTTTTTAGCTGACAACTTATTAATTAAACACATCCCTTCTTTCCAATTGCAGTCCCTGTTCTCCAAGGAAAACGGGCTGAGAGAGGCCTGGAAGGAGAAAATTCAAGACCTGAG